CTGTTTTTAATATGCCAATTCTTCATGACTAAATTGGGTACTCTGAGGCATCAATACCTGGGTTTCCTAAGGCGGCATGTTGCAGAGATTAGCTCATTAGGTTTAAACATCATCCCATAGCTAAGGTTCTTGTTATTCATTCATTCCTTTAACAAAATAGATATTAAACATTGAATAAGGACAGCTAGGTACTGTTTTAGATATTAGTAAAAATGAAAGGTGGGAATGTGGTATCTGGAGCCCCGTAGAGCATGATAGAAAGAAATGGGGCCAAGAGGACAAATCCATTTGGTTCTTCTTTCCTTGTTTTCTGTTTTTTGAGTATTTTTGAAGATGCTAAATCCACCCGCCCTCCCCCCGCAAGCTTGTAATGACTGTTAGGATTGAAAGAGAGAATTGGATTGAAAGAGAGAGAATTTATAGAAGAGAAATTAACTCCAGCTCTTAAAATAGCTCTTTGTTTCCAAAAGCTTTGTTCGACCATCTATCTTATAACTGGGGGAGGGGCCCTCATAAAATTACTTCTATAGCCTCTGCCACTAAGGAGAATGTGCCCCAGTGTTACCTCAAACAAGCTGATTTATTTAAAAAAATATATAGGGAAAGGTTTTTGCATCTATTTTCTTAGTGACTTTTATCAATGAACAATAGATCTTAATATATGATTTCGTATTTGTCATTAGTGCATGTGGTGGGTATGTGGAGATGGGGGGAGCTGATGATTTCATAATACTGTATCAGAAAATATGAATATAGGGACTCATTAACATAATTTTCAGACAGAACAATCTCGACTTTTAAAACCTCTTCATTTAGTTCAAACATTAAGTATCTTCTTTGTGGCCTATATTATGCTAGGTGCTCTCTTTGCAAGACTCATTTTCTAGACATTTAAGGACATATTTGCTCAGCAAATATTTACTGTGCACCTACTATGTGCCTAGCACCACGCTGTGTGCTGGGGTGCCATGTGTCCCTCCATCAACATAGACTCAAGACTAATATGATTTCAGTGATCTTTTTTAAAGCAAAAGATATTATATTTTATGAGGATGAAAAAAGAGACATTTTACATGAGGCACAAAAAATAGGAGAATTACCCCTCTCCCAAGTTAGAGTACTACATAACGTGGTTGTTTTTGGACTTGACCAGGTTTTATACAATCCTTTTAAAATGTGGCGTCCAGATTTTAAAGTAGTTTTCTGCTCTTTCTGGTGCCTGTTTTAGATGTGTATTGGACCTTCTCATGCTGTCTTTGTGTCCCGACCTCTCATGTTTTCCATCTCTTTGTCAGTGTGTGTTTCATTCTACACAAACACTTATTGAACTGTATATAGCGTCCCCACGAATCATCTGAGGATCTTGTGAGAATGTAGGTTCTGATTCAGTGGGTATGGGGCAAGGCCTGAGATTTTGCATTTCTGGCCAGCTCCTGGGTGATGCCGACGCCGCCAGTGTGTAGACCACACTTTGAGTATCAAGGTTCTGTGTGATTTCCTCAGATCTAACTGTTAGTTCACTAAGTTTCCCTTCAGCTTGATTGAATCTGGCATCTAACATATCCAGCGAGTTTTTAACTTTATTTTTATTTATTTATTTTTTGAGACAGAGTCTCACTGTGTTGTTTGGGCTAGAGTGCCGTGGCGTCATCCTAGCTCACAGCAACCTCAAACTCCTGGGCTCAAGCTATCCTTCTGCCTCAGCCTCCCGAGTAGCTGGGACTACAGGCATGTGCCACCATGCCCGGCTAATTTTTTCTATATATTTTTAGTTGTTCAATTAATTTCTTTCGTTTTTAGTAGAGACGGGGTCTCGCTCTTGCTCAGGCTGGTTTCGAACTCCTGAGCTCAAACAATCCGCCTGCCTCGGCCTCCCAGAGAGCTAGGATTACAGGCGTGAGCCACCGCCCGGCCGAGTTTTTAACTTTAAATTCAATAACAGTACGTTTTATTACCAGAAGTTCTGTTTGATTGCTTTCAAATGTGGTTGGTCCTTTTTCAAAGTGTCTTGTTCTTTGATGAGAATTTTTACTCATTTACCTTAATAATAAATTAGAATTTATTTTATGGTACATTTTAGATTGTTCTTTTAGCTGCAGTTTTTGGAGGGCTAATTCTCCCATTTCTTGTGTCTGCTGATACCCCTTCGTGATAGTTTGTATCCTTGGGTCGTGAAAGTATCCCTGCAATTGTTTCTCCACTTCTACCCGCCGGTGCTCTCAGGGCTCTGTGATCCTGGATCAGTATTCATGCTAATTTCTCGATTTGTAGCAGGATACTGAAAATGTAGACACCCTACCTGATGTTACAGTTTTTTACTAGACACCTTATTTCTTTCCTGCTAAAGGGCCCTGGACAAGGGTGAGAGCATCCTTGTTTCTTTCTAGAGGGCAGAATATTTCCAGTCAGTTTTCCTACCTCTCTTTGGCTTGAGGCTGTCGCTTTTCCCCTCTGCTGAAATGTGGCCCTAAGAAGCCATTCTTTTAGACTCTCCTGTGCGATTTAACTGACTACCAGTTAGAGGTTTACATCCCTCACTTTTCTCTGTGCTGTGAATATCTCATCTGCAACCAGCTAGTAGTGTATTTCACATTGACTTCTCCTTCCTTTTAAGTTGAAGATTGTCTGCCCATCTTCCTAATCTCGACCACATTAAGCTAGCTTTGAGCATGATGGAGTTTTATAGACAAATCTTATTTTATAGTACAAGATTTCAAAATCATAATTATTTCACTGAGGGTGGCTTGTATCCCTCTATTAATCATATTCCTCACTCAGAAATGGAATTCTATTTTGGTCTTCTAAAGATAAATTAGTTATATAGTGGAAAGGGAATTAAAGTTCTGCTAGGAATTAAATGATATGATTAACACAAACATCCACCTGGACGTGTCTGTGTCTTGCACAGGAAAGAAGGGTATTCAATACAGATGCTGCTGTATCTCACTGCCCTCAATAACTGCAAGATCTGTTATAAACATGCACTGCACGTGAGCAATAACAATAATAGTAGGTAATCTTTGTGGAGTGGTAACTGCATGCTAAGAACTGTGCTAAACTTTATACAGATGATTTAAATCTCCCAACAGCACTTTGAGATAGTTATTCCTATATTGAAACTAAGGTTCAGAGAGGTTAAGTAACTTTTTCAGGGTCACAGAACTGACACGTGGTGGAGCTGGGATTTGAACTCAGTCAGATTCCAGAGCATGTGCCCTTAACCGCTTTGCCTCCATATTAATATCACCTGCAAATCTCTCTCCGTACATTTCCTGTCTTTATCTGAGTTTCCTTATGTTGGGATGGAAAATTTCTCTTTTTGATCCTTATAAAATGTAATTTTCTTTAAATTTTTTTTTTTGCTATTAATATAGATATTAGGTAATTGAAATCAGATTGGATTGAGCCTATGTTGATGGAAGTATGCATCGGTTGTGGGCTGAAGCGTTCAGTCTAATTTTTCTTTCCATCAGCTAATTTTTAAAGTATTAAGCAAGTAGGTTCTGACATGAACAGGGAAGATTTAAATTATCTTGAGAGGCTGGAGGTGTTAATTTTCTGGTAGTGCACATTTTACGTTTTCGATCTTCTTCACTCTCCTACCTCATCTCAACGCACCTGAAGCTCTGAGAATGTTCTTTTGCACTTTCCGGGAGCAGCCAGACCTCTGGCTTCATTTCTTCTCCCCTCCACATCCCTTCACCGCTCCCTTGTTATTTCCCAGCGCCGCTTTGGATGTTGTCGTCATTGGGGAACTTTGGAAACAGCCAGATTTTTTTGGAGTCTGTCAGCAGAAAGCAGACCGTGTCTGCTGTGTCTCTGGCACACAGCTTTGTCCAGAAAACGAGGAGTTAAAAACGAGGTCTGGGCTGTGAAGGGCTGTGACAACTGTCCTAGGGGGAGCTCTAGCGAGCCCTGGCGAGCAGTGACTCACGCTGCTCGGCATTGGCGGCCAGGTGGGGTTACAGCCGGAGCACGCAGGAGCAGGGAGCAGCATGCAGCCTGCACTGCGGGGCATGTGATGCTCGGCTCGCCCGGCCGGTGCCACGGACGCCTCAGCCCACAGCCATGGTAACGCTTCTGGCCAGCGACACTCCCAGGATCCTGCCACGATGGGCAGCCTCCTGGTGACTGATGGACGGGTGTCCACCTCCCTGACTGAGAGAGCTGAGTAAGTCAGCAGGAAGTGAAGAGGATGTAATACACCCCTGGCCAGGAGTCATGCCGTAAGGAGGTAGGAACCGTGCCGCATACGTCCAGCCGCGCGTTCCCACCGTAAATTACCAGGAGGAACTTTATTTGGCTGGTGTTTCATTATGCTGGTTAAACTGCAGTGGATCCAGGGGGCATGATTGCGGTGGGAAGGATGGATGATGAACTAAAAAAAAAGTGGTTGATAAGATCTTGGAGTAGACTCGTCCGGATATGAATGAACTAGACTGCAGTGGTATCTTAACATGAGTTTCAGAACCTCACAAACCCCCTTTCTTCCTCTCATTCCGGTTAATCCACAAAACGTAGAAGTTCCATCTTATTTCAGCGATTAGCGCCAAATATTAATAATTTAGACCTGTCTGGAATAGGGAATACATACATAGGTTTAGGTAATCCGGCATCCTGGCACTAAGCAGGCAGATGCTCTGTAGAAGCCTTCTGGAAACATCGGGATTGAGTGGCTTGCCCAAATGAGTTCCCCAAGTGCTCTCGTTGGACCAAATGACCTGTTTGAGTTTATCCTTCAGTTTACCCCAGGCGGGAAGGCAGCCTGTCTGCGGGTTGGTGGCCATGTTGGCGGAGAAGGGGTTAATCTCTTGTTGCTGTAGGAGCTGAGGCTGAGGCTGAGGCTGGGTCTGCCTTCGCGAGCAGGCTAGATTGAAAGCAGGCGCTGCAGTGCCATCGCCAGCGCCGAAGGAGTAAGACGATCTGATCTTCTCCGCAACAGTGTTGAATCCGGGCTGAATTTTTTTTCTCCCCCCCCTTTCTTGTTTTTCTTTAACCAGCTCCTCCCCCCTTCGTTCCCACCCTCAAGTCTGACGATGACACCTCCAATTTTGATGAACCAGAGAAGAATTCGTGGGTTTCATCCTCTTCGTGCCAGCTGAGCCCCTCGGGTTTCTCAGGCGAAGAACTGCCGTTTGTGGGGTTTTCGTACAGCAAGGCACTGGGGATTCTTGGTAGATCTGAGTAAGTGAAAATTTGACTTTCTGAGGGACCTGCATAGATGCAAGGCATACAGAGCCAAAGGTGTTGGTGGCAGTGGCGGAGGTGGTGGTGAAGGGGGTGGGGTGGGGGGAGTGCAGTGGAGGGAAGCTGCTATTCAGCCTGCATTTGAAAAGCAGTCTTCTACCTGTTTGGGCTTTCGGGGGCGGAGGGCAGACTGTTAATATTCTCATTTTGCAGCGTGTAGGGTACCTGTTCCTGTCGTGGCATCATAATTGGGTACTTTGGGTTAGTTTTTCAGTCTTTGGTCTTCTTTAGAGGGGAGGAGATAGTGGGAGATTTTTAGCAGTGCAGATCCTTGGTCGAAGGAGAAATGTGCAGGAGTTAAGATGAGGTGTCCATCTCTTTATCCATCTATGTATCTATCTCTCAAGTGGGCGGATGGGGGTTGCTGTCTTGGCTGCGTGGAAAGAATCCTAAAAACCGTGTCTCGTAAGCTAAAGGTTTCCCGATGGGTTTAACTGAGCTGCAAGTGGCTGAACCAGAGCTCTAGCAGAGAGATGGTGCTCGGCTGCTCTCCAAGTATGCTGCAAGATCAGAGATCTGGCAGCTGAGCCTCTCTGAGCTGGTAGAGTGCTGGCGGCCAGAGAAAGCCCGGTTACTGTGAGCCACCAGGAGGGAGTATGATGTAGCCGAGTCATTGATTCACAGAAACTGGGCTTCACAGGGAGGAAAAAAAAACAACAACAAACCAAACCAGGAGACTAGAAAATGGAAATAGAAATATCGTTGTAAACCTCTTGACCTGGTAGGTCTTTCTCCATTCTTATAAAAGCTATTGAAAAATGCATTAGCATGGTACTTGGTATTACAGAGTCCCAGCTTCTGGGAGCCTCCTGAAATTTCTGCTAAATGCAGTGGCCTCTGTGGATGTGGGAGCTCAGTTTCTTGCTTTATTCTCTCATGATATGATGACATTCTGTTTTCAGAGGAGAGAGTTCCCCGGGAAGGTCTTGGACTGGCGGTGTTATTCCCCAGACGCCCCGGCTCCTGCACTTGGAGGTTCTTGGGGTAATTAGTTTCTGCCCACTTAGGAGATGAACAGAATTTGATTTTCTCTTTGACAGCGTTTATTCCCGATTTGTTGTGCTTGTAGCTCAGATATTGATTTGAAGGGATGTTGTGTTGGTTCTTGGATGGTGTCTCCCCAAGGGTGCTATTTTGACAGTAACGTTCCTGAAAAGGTATCAGACTACTGTGGGCAATGGGGCATTTGCTATGAAATAGTGTTGTGGGCTGTGATTGAATTTGAGAGAGGTTTTTATGTCGAAAGATGTTGAGGTGGGCTTTTTTATTTCCTCCCTGGGGACCCGGTTTAAAATTCGGATTGGATTTTGGTAGTGTTGGATGCGTGTGGTAGTGTCTTTCCGGCTGATTTGCTCCCCAGCCCTAAAGCAAAGCTGGATGATGGTAGGAGGGCAGAAAGCTAACTAGCTGTTGAATGTGCCATCAGATGGATTTGAAATGGCCTGGCAGGGCTGGGAGCTTTTGCATTGGCATCAAAGGGCAGGGCAGAAGTGGAGGCCTGATGTTAAAGGATGCGTGGTTAGTGGGCAGCGTAACCTTGACACACACAGCACACTGAAGGTCACAGATCGGACTGGAAGGAGAGGTGTGCAGAGTTCTGGTTAGTAGCTGGCCGGTCGGATCAGAACGAAATCTCGCTTAGGGTGTTAATCAGTGATCTGAAAGACCAGGAAGGACTCGAGGGAGTTAGATTTCAGGAGAAAAGGCAGAATGATGGGGAAGATCTTAGGCATTGCAATTAATCTGAAGCAGTGTGTGATTAATTGCTTATTTTACAGGAAGACTCTAATTGCATCTTTCTGCTTCTCATAGAAAGCTCAGTTAAGGGAACTCTCTGACCAGGGCATCTCAGCATTAAGGCCCAGGCACACGATAAATATTTGTTGATTTAATTTACTCGTGATCCTTTCCCTGGAATGTGTTTATATTGCTTACTGTATTTGAAGATTTGTTATTTCACCTTTGGTAGTTTAAGCTATATCTCTAGAGCATAAAATGAGCTTCTGTTCATGCCCCAACAGACTGTTTAATAAGACTCTTGTAAAAAAAAAAAAAAGGTCGATGAAATAAAACCATATATTTCTTATCTGAAAGATGACATCAGAGTATTCCCATCTTTGGGAAACTTTAATGTCTTTTCCATGGCAATTTGGGGTTGGAATCAGAAAGATTTTCTTTCATCTCTCATCTTGTTATGTGATGTTGCCATTGGACTTGGTTACTCTGCCGTGGGCTGCCCTGTGGGTGAAACGTACAGCGTCATTTTAGAAATTCACTCCACCTGTTGGATGTAGGTGACCCTGGATGTGTTGGATTATGATTAATTAGAAATCCAGTAAAACAGATGCAAGGATGAAATTACTTAGCTCCTGCAGTTGTATTGACATATAGTTACAAAATTCATTTGGAGTGGGGAGGCATTTTCTGGGGGTGAGTACCACCTTTGCCACCAGCGACCCTGTATTTCTTCCTGAGTTCCTTGTTCTCTCCTCCCTGTTTTCAGCATTCCAGGTTTTTATTTACGCACATTGATTACCTGGGCTGTTACTCATTCTTCACACCACTGGCGAAATTGCAGATGCTGCTGTACTGTGCTAGGTAAATTGACCCTAGATTTGTTACCACTGAATCAAATGAAATGTTCAGAAGTGGAGCTGAATGAATGAGGAGTTTTCATGAAGACTTTGGCAGTGAGAAGTGATTTAAATTCTGGATCCTTATTTTGGGACCCCAGACTATTTTTAAGCCAGCCATTGAATGCATCATTGTTTTAGGTTTAGCAAGAATCTTGATCACAGCATTTCAATGGCTGAGGCGTAGTGGGAGTTTCTTGCAGTTTGAGTTGGTGGGAGCAGGAGAGATTCTAGAGAACTGGGTTCGGTTGTCTTTGGAGCTAGATGATGAAGTTAAGTTTTGGAGATTATCTGTCTGGTGCCTCTTTTCCTTTTTAAGCCAACAATAATCCAAACCAAATCCCCAAGCTCTGAATGCCTCATGTTCCTCTGAGCCTCTGTTTGCTTGTAATTTAGAATTAGTAGGGTAGTAACGGAAATTAATGTGTTAAAGGTTTAAAAATAAAACGGATCCCAGCTCTCTTCCCTCCCCTGTCAGCATGGGCTACATTTCTTCAGGTCCTTCCTCCTCCTGCCTAGATTGAGGTACTGCCTCATTTCAGCTTTTGTTGAAACAGTGCATTTCGGCAAACTGTCAGTATAAACTCTAGAAGGTAAAAAACAGTTGGTTTTGTGTTTTGTGTTAGTTTTACACATGCCGGTTGTATGCTTTTGGAGAAGTTGGAAATCTTAGAGGAGTGGGCAGTGGGATCTTGGTGAGACTGGACTTTGTGGATGGTGGTGTCTGGGTAGGTGGTTTTTAGGAAGGGGGCTCTTTCTTCCTTTTGACTCAGGGCTTTTTTCTTTCCTTTTGGGTGGATCTGAAAATGCAGAATGGAGCCAGCCAGTCAAACACTGTGGAGGATTAAAGAGTGGCTGCTGCCATTGCCTTCCCAAATTTTCAGAGAACCTGTTTTTGGTGCCACTTCCTTGCTCTGTTGGGGATTCTTGCATGTTAGTTTCCCTCAACTGCAAAGTGGGGTAACAGCGATACCTTTCTCCTAGGACTATTGGGAGCCTTAAACAAAACGTAAAAACACTTGGTCTAGTACTTGGCACATGGAAAAACCTCAATAAACATTCACTGTTACTGTTTTTATTATTACTAATACTCTAGTCTGTGTATGCGTAGTGTCCTTTTGTACATGCCAGAAGGATATGGAATGGACTTGGCTATAATTAGGTAGTCCAGAGTCTTACTGGACCCGAAACCCAGCCTCCCCAGCCTTGGGAATTTTCTGCCAGAGATGCTTAAATGTCCTGACCGACCATGAAGGTTAATATGTGGTTGCCAAATACCTGTTGGTTAAAGGTGCTGGGTGGGGAGAAGTGGCTTGGGGGACAGAATTAGAAGGTCCAATCTCAGAATGGGTATCTTCCCATTCTAAGTTGAGCAAGTCAAAGCAGGTATGTTGCAACAACCAGAGAACACAAAGCAAACACCTTTGCTGCAGAATATCATTGTACAAACTGGACATCTCATTGCTTTAGGAGAGTCAGGAGAGTAGGGCAAAATCCATCGTGGGACACTTCATGGGTAATGCCCGTGCTAAATTACATCAGTGATCTTCCTTGGAATGTCTGCTCGTCCTCTGAAGTAGATGATGATCTCAAGGGCACGGCCGGCTCTTATTCAAGCTGGTTTTCCTGGAGCGTAGGACACAGTAGGCCCTCAGTAAACATGTGTGTGGGACTGGGCTTATAAGCATACTAATGGAAAGTAAAATGTTTGGGTCATCTTTTTAAAATAAAATGAATTTGGATCACCGGAGAGGAAGGTGGAGGGAATTTCAGGTGGGCAGAGTGATAACAACAGCTCATCCTTACAGAGCACCAACTCTGTACCCGGCTCTGTTCCAAGCACTATACACAGATTAACTCATTTAAATTGCACAACAGCCCAAGAGGAAGGTACCGCCACCATTCTCATTTTACATGTGAGGAAACTGAGGCACAGAGAAATTAAGCAACTTGCCTAAGGTCATGTAGCTCTGAGTGGTTCCAAGCCTGGTGCAGAGTCGGTGCCGTGTAAGGATGAGCTTATCACTCTGCCCACTTGAACCCAGGCAGTGTGGCTCCAGGGTCTCTTAGCCACATGCTCTGCTGCTAAGTATAAATGCCAGAGGCAGGAGGAATTAGGAAATTTGTGTGGGGTGTGCAGGTTGACATGCTTGTCAGAGGTGGAGGCCCATTGTGGGGAGTGACAGGCAATGATGTTGGGGCAGGGCAGGATCAGAGCTGACAGGTCTGAGTGCTGGGTTTTGTTTTCAGTCTCTGTGAGTTTATTGAGTAGGTAGATTGTATGGCTCTTGGATTTCTCTGATT